CAGCTGGGCTGGGGGGGCCGGGCCCTCGGCGGGCCCGGGGGCTGCGGGGCCGGGCTGGGGCAGCTCGGCAGGGACGATTTGGGCTCCCGCTGTTACTGCCGCCTGCCCGAGCTCTGGGGCTGTGCAGGTGGGCTTTTACCACGAGGGAAAAGCGAGATGAGCAGGATGAAATGGGAATCATGTTCTTGCTTGCGCTCTTTTCTGTGCACTGAGGCAGCAAAACGCGTTAGCAGGGCTTGTTCTCTTTCTGCACAGGCAGCTCGGGCTTCTAACTGGATTTTTTTCTGCACTATGTCTTGTCACATAGTGGGTGTCGTCTTCTGCGTTATTTGCATTCACCTTGATTTCCAGTGACAGAAGCAATGACTCCTGCAGCAATACCAGCATCTACCCCTTTGCAAATAAGGCAGAAGGATTTGGCTTTTTGTTGGTATATATTTTTCAATAGTGTGTATAGACCTTTTTTAACTTGTGTTATTCTTTCAAGTTCAAGCTCTTTAAGGATAATAATTTAGCATAGATAATCCTTCCCAGCCTAGGGACCTACTGACTCTACCAATATCTGCTATGTATTAATTTTTACAGTATTAGCTGCAACAGTAAAATGGGAGCCTGCACAGTTTCTTTGTGGGGTTTAACATACTGTGCAAATTGCATTCTAATGCTGTGCAAGATACCCATTATAAACTAGTTTCTCTTCGGCTTTTTTCCTATCTTGAATCTCTTAACATATGACTGCAACATCTCTAATACAAGAGACTGTGTTCTGATGTAGCATGTCCTTGCATGCTAAAATACTAATACACCTTTTTTTCTTTCCAAACCCTTTGATGTGAACGTGGATATGAAAGACTATGAAGATGAACCTTCAATAAGAGTCTTACATGACCTCCATTGTGAAATCAGGACTCTGAAGGTAATGTCTTAACTGCTTCCTTCTTGAAAAAATGGGAGGGGTTGTTCCATAAACTTATGGTCCTATTTTGGTCATTAAGCCACAATACAACTTTGTTACTTAGTTTGGACCCTTATATTAATCCATTTACCTCTAAGTCCTTGTAATGGTGGTGGATGTTGACGTAATGCCCAGACACTTTTGGATGACTTGAAGCAGAGTTAGCAGTGTTTATTTGCAATCACTGTTGTCCCTGTCAGCGGGTGACAAAGGTGACAGGTAGCTGCACGGGTGCAGCTGTGCCAAGACACAGGTATAGGGGAGGATTCAGGAGCTACAACTCCCCTGTTTGTGCTCAATGAATAGCAGCTAGAATAAAGAAAATCTTGACAGAAGTTTCAGTACCTTCAGCCATTCAGTTAAACTTGTGAAGAATGTTCTTTAGTTCTTTAACAGAAGTAGTAAAAATGGGCTATAGAAATGAGCAAATGTAGAAATAGAGAGGTAAGCTAGGATATAAACTTAAGGTTTACCATATACTCTGTATATAGGGAGTAACGGTCCAAAGTAACTACTTTCATCTCATTTTTTATGGAGTGAAAGCAGTTTTTTGAGAGGCTAGCTGTAAGCAGTTATCATACTATGAACTGTCAGTTTAACTTTTGTAAGTTTTTGTACACTCATGGCCTGTATATTCCTGATATTTTGTTACCTAGTTTTCATACATATATATGACCTAATTTTGCTGCTTATCCTCATCTGAACTGAATTTCAGTAGTTATGCCTAAAACACTTAATGATGCTTATTTGAAAACCAATATTTTTACATTTCCCTCTCTGCCTGCACCCCCAAAGGAAGAAGTTAATGCCAGTCTTGGTAAGAGTTTTTCTGAAAAACAAGCAATTCATGACTTTATGAAGGCAAGTGAAATACTGATGCAAAGAAATGCAGCAGATCTTGGAAAAATAAGAGAGCTGTTCCAGAAATATGGCTACAAACCACATTTCAAAGACCTTACAGGTAATATTTCTTGGCAATACAGTATGCAAAGACAAATACAATTTTCTAAAATGTTTCTCTTCTGTGTATTTCTACTCATTAAGAGATCAAGTACATCTGTTATTTGCTTTATAATATCCAGAGGGCAAAATATTCCATTATGTTTGGTGCTATAAGAGTAAAACATAATACAAAAGCTTCCTGTCATGCTTTTAAGTTACTGTATGATTATTTTTTCCCCTCCATTAGCAGTTAGATTCAGAAAATATGTTAGCAAGCATGTTTTGATAATGCAGAGACCTATGTTGCTTCAGCTTTACATTCATGGGAAACTATTGCAGGTACATCTAAACTAGTTCATATTCATCGTATTCATATGGGATGATTTTGTTAACTTTAAATCACCATAGAGTAAATATTAAATATATTAAAATGTGCTTCCTAGCACAGATGGAACAAAAGAAGCACAAATGGAGATCAGGTGACAAGTGGCAATCTGTGAGGCAGCAGTAGCTTGATCACTGGGGTGTGGGGTAGAGGGGAAATCCTTAGTCCAGTCAAAGTACACACACACCTGTGTGAAAAATCCAGATATGCTAAATGAGCTTAAAATACTACACATATCCCTTCAGGTATCAAGGATCCAATCAATCTTCAAGCAGCCTATGCAAGGGCACACCTTAACCTTCCCCTGAGCATTAACAAGTCACTACATGAAACAAAATTGTAGTTGTGGATCATATATGTACTTCATATCATATATGTACCTCAGAGTTAAGCTCCTACAACAGTCTTACAAACACATGGCAGAAGGCTCTGATTTTACAGTGCATTCCTTACTGTCCCCTCTCTGCCTTTAAAGAAGACTACAAACAGAGCTGTAAGGTTAATTTGTTTTTCAGATGTATTTTAAGCAAAGTATCTGAATACGTAATACAAATGCACAGAGGTAATGCCTCTGCCATATTATTTTAAATTGCTTTTTTCCCCTGTTCCTTACATCATGCAGGAATTCACAAATGTTTTGGGGTATTTTAATTTACTTAACTACAGAAATGTGCACCTTTGCATATTTCTGATTATTTCTGGACTGTTGCTATCTAAAAAGTGATCCTATTTCATGAGTTTTCAGTTGCTGCTTCAGACCCTTTTAGACTGTTTGAAGAATGAGCATTCTAGTACTGTGTGCAGGCTTTGATCTCTTCCCAAAAACATTTTAACTTCTATACAAATTTTGTTTTCATTGGCATTTATGTTGCACATTTTTAATGGATTTCCACTCTTGAATTGAAATAAAAGCAAATAAATATTTAAGATTAGCGCATCCTGCTTGCTCAATGCAGGGAGATGAATTCTATTAAACATACATTTGTGTGAAAAACTTTTCATTTTTCCTAGAAATATTTACCAGTAGAGCAAAATTCAGTAACAGTGCAACCTATATTATAAATATAGCCTGATATGAGCTTTTGATATCCCTTGTAGCTTCAGGTCCAATGCTCTAAAACGAAATTTTTTACAATAATAACAAATCTTGAATGTAGGAGTAGAAAGTTCTTCAAACAAACTTCTGGCATAACTTTTTTTAATTAATTTTCTCAAACAGAAGAGAAGAAAGAAGCTGTTAACAGTGATTCAGTGGTGTCTGTCCAGAGCAAATCTGAGGAAGAAAAATCAGATGATGTGCCTCAGCTTCCTGCTTCTGCTGAGAAGCCACTGGTGCCCAAGGACCCACTGCGTAACCCCCAGCTTGCTGATTTTGGCCTTTCACAATATGCTTTCTCCAGGCCTTGGAGTGCAGTGAAAGGGCAACATGCAACGAATGTACCTCAAGAAAATGCAAGCAGCAGGACTCCCGTGAAAACACAGACCCCCCATACTTTGCCAAAAACACCAAAATGTGTGCTAAAGATGGATGATTATGAGTGTATAACACCAAAACTTGAACACTTTGGCATTAGTGAACATACCATGTGTATGAATGAAGATTATACTATGTCACTTATTCGTAAAACCGTTCAAGCAAGCAAGCTGTGAGTAAATTACTTATTTCAGATTTTCTCTCTCCTGATTTTTCTGTACTAATTTCTTGCCTCTGTTGCCCTTTTTCTTCAAGCAGGTGTTATGTTACTACCTTTCAGCTGGTTAGTCCTGTGTCTTCATGTGATTCTCTACATGTATTTCCATGTACTCTTTCCAGTGCCAAATGCTGCCAAGAAGCACATCTCTGATACACCCCTTCCCTTGACTGCACTGTGATAAGAATCTTCTATATACAATCTGTTCACTGAAGGAAATTGCACAGCATATCTCTGATCTGTTGCTTTCCTTAACCTTCGATTTGAGGATGTGTTGCATCCTCACAGGCAATTTAAAGGTTCCAAAAGCTTTAGGAATATAGACCCAGAAAAAACAGACAGTCAGTAAATGCCTCATTGTAGGAACAGCATATTCTATTATGTTATCTAGCCCCACCTTAGAAGTTCTTTGCTCTAGTTTACTCTTGAAAAGACACCTCCAGATTTTCACTGCTCTAATTAAAATTAAAGAAGCGGATTTGCAGCAGTGAGGTGTAGAACACCTCAGCAGTAGAAGTATTTTTCTATTGTTCTAAGGTAATTTAGAAGTAGTTACATCACGCTTCTATAGTTAGTATGAACAACACATTCAATTTTAAAAGCTCATAACATTTAAAAGAAGCTCACTTTCTTCAGCTAAATATTTGGTATTCAGAAAAATTGTTCAAAAAAGAGCCATATTCAAAGTAAGTAGTGGAAATAATAATTCAGCTGCTTTTTTTTTTTTAATCCCTGATATTTGAAATGTAGTCTTAAGTGTGAAGTTCATTAGAACCATGTCCGTTTAGTTCCCCAAAGGTCTAGTTTACAGCAATGGTTACATTTTTAGTGTGTTTTCATTTTAAGATTACTGGGAGTGGAAACGTCAAAAGATGTATTTCTTTTAAAAGAATTTTCAACTTGCATATTGATGAACAAATACTAGAAAAGTAATCAGGTTGACTATTCCTTTAATTGTGATTTCTTCAGATTACTTGAGAGCTAATTAAAGCTTTTGGTTTTCAGGTTGGTTAAAAAAGATGGTAATGAAGTGAATATACCAGAAATGACAGCCAGAAAAATCACTCCTCAGCCAAAACAAAAAGTGACAACTGAGAATGGTGAGCTAAAAATACATGAAATAAATATACATATGCAGTGTTTTCCATCATGCATGTGTAAATGCATGGTAGACTTTTACACTGTGTCTCCTGTTAAATATAGTTAATTCAGACCCAGTCAGTGTATGAGTACTAATGTACAGAAAATGAAACATTGGTGACTCCTATGGGAATGTTTCTTACTTCAGTATAGGTCTTTGCTCATTCTTCTACTTTTATCCATTTAGAATTATGCAGAGAGATCCATAATTTTGTAACTGCAAAAAAAAAAAAAATTTACCTGCAATAAAAACTGTCTTGCCAGCTTATCTTCTATTTCTGAGAATACCCATTAGACCTGTTTGAAGACAGGAAAAACTACTTTCAAGGAGGCTAATGAGACAGTAACTTAAATCTTTAAGAGTAGTGCTAAAACTTCTTGAAAATGTACTAAGAACTTGGGACAAACATAATGACAACTGAATATCTGAGAAGCTAAAGCAATGTAGATTTAATTTGGGTTTTTTCAGTTGTATTCAGTAGTGGGACTAGATTTATGACTCCTTTGCATTTGCTGCTGTTAAGGGACTGTTATTTGGATGGTTCTTCATACTAAAAATATGGAGATATGTTTATATTTTTTTATCTCCATCTTCTCCACCCCACCCTTCCACCCCCCCATTTTCAGCACCTGACTGGATGACTTCTCCTATGGTATTGGTGTTCTGTACTCCTGAGGTGACTATCTCTACCAGAAAAAACAGTAAAGCACAATCAAGGTCACCAGAGCCAAATGAACTGCCTTTTCCCAGCCACACCAGAACACCACAGGTTCCAGATTTTGAAACAAGATGGCTAAAAACTGAAGCTAAGGTAGTAAATAGCAAATATGTACATTTTCACACAATGCTACCATCAGCAGTTTTTCAAATGTCAGTTTGAGATTCTTTTCCAGTATTACTTTTTCTTATGTTACTGTAGAAGATCTTTCTAATGGTAGTTATGAAAGAATATTTATAAATACTTCAAGATAAGTAAATTAACTGAAGGCTTTTAATACTACTTTTGCAGCAGGTAAAGCAGGTGGAAAAGATTGAGTCTGTGACAAAGAATGATGCAACAGACAATAACCAATACAGAGGAAATAACCTTACTTTTGCTGTGAGCTCTGATGAGTACCTTAAACATTTTGGAGACCCTTCTCCTCCTGAAATAAAACACTATGACCAGTTACTCAATACTCCTCCACCTCCAGAAATAACAAGGATACCAGATGATATTCTACAGGTTAGCAAATACTTTTTTTACTATCAAAATAGTAAAATTAAAAGGGCTCATTTCCTTGAAGTTTTTCTCTTCAATAAGAGAATTCTCTGCTACTTAAAAAAATGTGCAAACTGTAATCCTGTTTTGGGGTCCTACATAATTCTTTTTATTCTCTTTTAATGTTTCCTGTAGATTCTGTCCAAGTATAACCATAAAGCAGATGCTTCTAAAGCCAAGGAAACAGAGACAAAGGGAGGGAATACTACAAGATATGAAAGTGACTTCACTGATTACTGCAACAAAGAGAACAGGTATGATAAAATCTTAATAATTTGGTTAAATTTAATTTGGAGAAGCTACAGAGATTATAGAATCATAGAATTGTTTTGTTTGGAAAAGACCTTTAAGTTCATTAAGTCCAACTGTTAACCCAGCCTGCCGAGTCCTTCACTGGCATGTCCCTGAGCACCACATCTACATGTGTTTTAAATCCCTCCAGGGATGGTGACTCTCCTACTTCCCTGGGCAGCCTGTTCCAGTGCCTGACAAGCCTCTCAGTAAATAAATTTTTCCTAATATCCAATCTGTTTCAACACACTTAGAAATTCATGCAGCTGCCTGTTCTTCAGCTACCAAAATAGCTCTTGTTGCTGTGACTAGGTAACTGCTCTTTGGCATGGTATCTGCCTTTATTGTAAAGAATAAGTATTATAATTGAATGTGTTTGAATACTCCCAACTTTAAAAAAATAATGAAACCCTAAAACACTATCTTCAATTTTTATCTGTAAGTATATTTTGCCTCATGGTAATCAAAGCACCAGTGAATGCTTTCTGAGTAAACTTAGGCAAGAAAACAAAGGAATTGGAGAAAACCACGTAAGCAACATGACCACTTTCATGGTTGTTTTGGCAAAGACCAAGTTCTTTGAAATGCAAATCCCCTTGAGAACAATACATAAGAAGAAATTAGTCCACGATAAATATGAGTAAACATTGAACAATGAAATAAGTTTTAAAAAGAACTTGATTGATTTGAATAGACAAGTTTTTGTGACAACCTGCTCATGTGTTGATATTCCTGATTCAATGTAATGTATATTACATGTTTTATATGTTATTACATGATTATATGTTCAACTTGTGGTCAGTACAGGTTATTTAGGTAAGAGGCACAAGAAATGAGTGGAGTTAAATAATGATCACAACACCCAGAATGGGACTGATAAAAGCAGGTACCTTAATATACCTGGAGTTGGAATCCATTTGAGTAAAGAAACAGGAAAGCTCTTACTTTCACTGACCCTTCTTTTTTCCTTGTCAAGATAATATGCATAAAGTTTTCAGTATTTGTCTTCTGCTAATTCAAAATGATTGAGATAATAAGTTCATGACCTCTTCTGGATATGTTTGCAGAGGATATCCTGGATTTTTCAAGCCAAACATCTGAAATCAAGCTGAAGACCATGTTGAGACTGTTTCATGTTCATGGATCTTATCACTGAATCATAACAAGCTCAAAAAGTAAAACAAAATAGTGGTGAGAGGAAAGAGCCACACAAAAGAAGCTTTTTTGATGGAGAAAGTTTGATGTGGACCAACCTATTTGAACTAACAACTTGTGCTTAATTGTTTTATTGAAATTATTGGCGAAATATATTGAGGGTTTATAAATATAGATATGCTTCAAAGAGGACTGGGCTCATGCATGAGGTAGTACTTCAGTTGTTTCACCTGTTCTCATGTTTGTGTAGAGAGGTGTTTGCAGCAGGCTGTAGAGAAGTGCTGTTAGGTTGCAAGAAAGGGCAAGTCCAGTTTATTGCTTCAGAAAGTGGATATGTATCTGACTGTTCTGGTGACACTGCATAGCTTTTCAGGGCTGAGTTTGAAGTCTAGTACTTCAAAAGTAATGGGTGTCTTCAACAAGAACAAGTTGTCTTATGTGAAGAGTAACTCCTGCCCCCCTGTTTAAAGTACTTCTGTGCTACTGGTCTCTGCTGAAATGCTAAGACATACCAGACATATTCCTGCATCAGGCTCTCAGTTACTGATCTGATAGATGGGCTTTTCTTACCCTGATCCTGCTTTCTTATTATAGCTTTCTTTGTACTAGGGGCTATACATCTGTTTTCCTTTTGACAGGCTAACCACAAAGCTCTAAAAGGTGACTGGCTTGAATATGATTTATTTAAAAATATCTTGTGAAATCACTACAGCTTACAGAAGCTTACTTCTTCAGCTGCTGGAAGGACTTGTTGGCTGACATGTGCCTTTTGTGAGTGGTGGTTTCACTTCTAAACATGCACCTCTATTCCTGTAATAGCTGACCAAGCTGAAGTTCTCAGAGCTGTTGAGCACTTTTTTGGTATCTGGTACTCATAGTAATCAGCCTTTTGTTTTTGTTTTTTCCTACCAGAGGTTTTACTTTTGTCCACAAGAATTTTCAGCTACATATCCTTGTTTGGTGTCAGTTTGATGTTTCCGGTGTCACCTATTCCTCTGAGTGACTCCAGGACTGTTCTTGCCAGCTGTAATGTGGTCTTTCTGATGATGGCTAAAACTTTGTTATTTATATGAGGGCAGGGATGCAACACATGAGAAGGGAGAGACTGTCCCAGGAGGTGGGGAGAAGGGTGTGCTTTTTGAACACAGCTTCACATTTTTAAGTCTTCAGGATATGCAAACATCTGGAGATAACTGGAAGTGTTTCCTCAATTGCTTAGATGGACTTATATTTGCTAAAACCTAGCAAGTAAAGGAGCTTTTTTCCATCCCGTTCCAGTCATTATCCAGGACAAGCATACATCAAATTAACTGGAGAAGCTGACTTTCTCCTATTGTAATTTTTTGTGCTGGCTTCTGTTTAAAAATATGTATGTGTTGTGTGTCAGTCTTTTTGATATTGATCAATGCTTTTGAATACTAAATAAATCTGTCTCAGATGTTTGGTGGCTCTTTGGAAAACTAATTATCTGCCACTATAAAAGCTACTTCCCAGCTCTTTCAGAGAGTGAATGCCAGACCTCCTTCCACCATCTTCAGACTAAAAAACATTTAACGGGCTGGATGCTAGTCATGGAGTTTTATGGTCTTAAAAAGGCACAAAGTATTCTGCTGCAGGGCAAGAGTTTTTCATCCAGACATTTACCAGCAGTGAGCAGGAGGTGTTTCACAGCCTCCATTCTCCCTTCACAGCACTTTAGGGCTACTTTCCTGCCCTAAAGCAATCCAGATATCCCAAGAGACTCCATTTAGTTAAATGAACAAGCAGCACTACTGTCCTGGTCCTTGCTGTATTCCTGCTCCACTTTGCCTCTTCAACTAATGAAATTCCAGAAAGGTCTGGCCAATGTCTTTTCCCTAAGCATGAGGACAACTGTGCTTCATCCTTTCCTCCATTAGGGAACTGCAGTGCCATACTAGGGCTGAGCTCTCACAGTAAGTCACTTCAATCATTGTTCTTGCCTATTGAATATAATTTTCTGCTATATTTTACCACTATTTCATTAACTAATATGAAATAAATTAGTATTTTGAGATACAAATTATCTTCAAGATTCCAATTGAAATCCTTGAGTAGTGTGGTCTACTTAAGCTATTATGACACTACTGGCATGGGAAGTTTTGGAATCTCAAAATGAAGTTTCACTAGCTTTGTTTTTCTGGCCTACAGTATCACTAATACAATTAATACTGCTGTTTGTATTTATGTTCTTTATAGCAGGACCAGTGTTCTGAGGTAGATAGAGCAGCAAAACAAACTGTTTAGTTTGTTGTGCTTAACCTTTGACAACCTTTTAGGTTTCAGTAAGGCTTGCATAGTTGAGTATTGGGGGTGAGGGAGGGAAAAGTTGGAAAAAGTGGAAGCATAAGTGGTGTTGGAAACTGCTCTGTCCAAAATAGGCTGGGGAGGAGGGGTGGAAAGTTTAGTGCTTTGTTTCTGTACTCAGATCAGTTCTGCCACACAGGTATAAACTGCAGATGTTCTAACACTGGAACAACCAAGGATGTAGCCATATGGCTGGGGGAGGCTTAGGCTCCCCTCAACCCAGTGCTGCTGCTGTAAAGGCTAACCCACTGTGCACTAGAGCATGACACGGAATAATACACCTTTGTACCTTGGGGGATGAATCTGATCACAGTGTTGGCCTGTCAGGAAGTGCAGTTTGGTTAAACAGTAGCTAAATAGCAAGCACAGTACTTCAGTAAGTGGCAGCAGTTACCTGGAAACAGGTGCAGTTGACTCAGACAGTGTCTGGGGGCTCCTGCTGCTGGAGGTTGTACCACTACTGTGCACAGAATTTAGAGGTCCTGCAGTTTTATGATGGCTTCCTTCTATTTGCAGAGCCACTGAAATACTAGTTGTCTAGCTTACTGTCTCTAACAGTAATCTCAAACTGAGTCTGTGTTATTGCTAGATCACATGGAAGGGTGAGAACAGGATCACCTCTTGTAGCAGCAGCCTGCAGTCAGAAGAGATTAAACCCAGCACAAAATTCTGCTTCAACATCTAGGGACATCTGGGAAGCAAACAGTAGCCTTTAGCTTTCCTTCATTTGCTGTGGTACTCTTTCATTTGTTTATCAAATGTGTCAGCTAACAGAAGCTTCCCTTCAAAATCCCATTTGTTGCCAAGGGAGCATCTCAATTCTTCTGCCTTGGAAGCCCTGTAAGGTGGTCAATGTTTTCTTACCTTAGAAATATTTTGCCTGAGGTTAAATTAAAAATACAAATCTTACAGTCAAATGAAACTTCCCAGATGCTTCTCAAAGGATAAATGGCAAGCTTGCTTGTAGAGATTTGTGGGGCTTTTATTAGTATTTTTTTAAATCAATAGAGCAACAACTGGAGTCCAGGCTTCTTTGATTATTTAAAGCATCATGGATGGTTTAAATTTTATGTAAGATATGATGTTTGCTTTGTCCCCTGTTGTCATTATTCAGGTGTTCAATACTGGTGATGGTCACATGGGCTCCATCAACAGCTGTAGCTGAAGTTAGAGCTTCCAACTGGCAGTACCTTGTTTCCCCCTGGGACAGTAATAAAGATTGTGGCTTCCATAAGGAACAATGGCAACATCCAGTGGCCACACCATGGAATCACTTGTACATTAGTCCACAGGAATACAACTTCCTACCAGGAGGACATTGGTTAATGCTGGCTATATTATCCACTAACTTAAACAGGAAACCTCATGCTGTCCTTACAGTAATACCCACTTTCACAAAGGGGAGGTTGACATCAGGGTAGGGAGCTGACCAGGCCTGTCAGTCTCTTCGATCTTGTCTCGTATCATTCAAGCTGAAGACTTTTAAAAATAAATAGCACAAATGTGCACCAACAGGAAATGGTCTGCAGAAGAAGATGCCATTCTACATGGGTGTTTCTCCAGGAGCAAAGGGTAGTTTGCAGAATACCCAGCAAGAAAGTGTTCAAATATTTCCAAGGTTCCTGGCACAGAGCCCTGTGGTTATGCTCCCCAGTGACTGTTTATGCAATTGTTGTAACCCATCTGAGGCTCTGTTGCACAGTCCTGCCTTTCTTCTCTCCCAGCTGTGGATCCCACACCTCGGTTTTGTCACTGCAGTCATGGCTGCAGAGGAAGCCGTGCCTGCTTGACTAGTCACCAGGATCTAATTGTTTTCCAAGGTTAAATTGTTCATGGACTCTGCACTGACCCAAACCACTGCTCACCTGCAAAGGCACTGATGGGCGTTGAGGCAAGAGAAGGGAAAGGGAGGGGGAGTGGGAGCAAGCCCTCCTCCTGATGGTGCTCAAGGTGCTCAGGGAATCTTGGCTAGCTGTCTGCTTTGGTAAGGTTGCCTGAGGCAGTTGTTCCATGAGCACTTCCATGGCAGCTGAAGCAACTCCTCTTCTTCACCCCACCACCCATCATGTCTTCACTTTTCTGTCTGCCCAGCTGTGTTAGATGCCAAACCCCAGCTGGATGTTCTGGTGGTCATGACTAGCACACAGGTGGCAGGGGCTCTGACCAAACCTGCCCCTGGTGACACAGAAGTCACGAAGCTGTTACAACACTCGGGTTCTGCACAGCAACAGTGCCTCAAGGTGCCTTGCCCTCACAACAGAGGTGACTACCTTCTCCATGGCAAAAACATTCCCTCCATCCCACCTCTGGCCACACTAGACCAGCTCCATTGCCTCTTCCAGCCTCATAGTCCTTTATAAAGCAACATTTGTACTGTCTTGTCTTGAGCTCCCTTCAAAGGGTGGGGAGTATTTTTCAATTCCTTTAGTCTTATGGGGAAAAAGTGACTCAGATGCAGGTGATTCTGCAAATGAGCATCATTAGCGAAGGCTGAAATAGCAACTCCCTAACTTTGAAACCAGAGGAGGACAAAAGAGGGTGACCCAGGGCAGAACTGAAGCTAAAATCCCTCAGGCTCTAGTGAACCAAGGAACTTCTGGGGGAAAAACGAATAAATATAAATCACAGCTCATTAAAATAAGGCATGCCTTGTCCTCAGCCAGTAGGGACACCTCCTGCAGTCTTCGTGACTGCCCCTCTAATGCCATAAGTGGAGGAACCTGAAGTCCCAAAGGAGCAGCTACAGCTTCTACTTCTCTTGCCTTTCTCTCAGCACACAGGGGCAGGACCTGCAGAAAACAAGCACCTGATCCCTTCCCAACCAGCTGGATGCTCTGGATCAGCCAGCAGAGGCAGCCTGGGGACAGCTGGAGCTGCTGGAAGACCAGAGGCACCTGCATGTCTCCAAGATCTCCCCCTGCAGTGACAAAAGAAACTGGCCAGCACGGAGCTACAGGAAGCCACAGGCCCCATCCACCAATGCTGTGCTGATTTACTTCTCTGCTGCTCGTTACGAAGAAGGTACAGGCAACATCAGCTGCTTCCCAGAGAACAGTGTCTATCACACAGAACTGCCTTCCAGTTTCACCATGGACAACTGAGACCCCTTAGCTATCCCTTCCCCTGTTTTGAGGCTCTGGAAGCTGGCTGCTAGACACCCCCCACCTTCATCAGTAACTTTTAACACAGAACAGCCTTGGACCTTGATACCTCACAGCCCCTCAGCTTTGCCCCAACACCCAAGGGGTAACAGTAAATTGAGAAAATGATGCTTGGTACAAGCTGCAAGTATTTGTGCAAGTCACCTGAGGGCTAAGCAGCAAGTGACCCAGCTCACAATGGTGTCAGGTTCAGAATCACATGTACTCATTAGATGCAGGGAACTTAAGGGGAAGAGGCCACACTATTCACCTTCTGTTTAAGTTCCAGGAAGCCAAAATTGGATGTTGTCCCCTTGATCAGTGTACACTGACAATATATTGTTTGTGGACAACATCCCAGGAGATAAAGGCATACAAGCCAGGCCTCCACACTGCAGGTCTGCTTGGCCAAGAACCTGGGGGTCAGGACTCCCAGGGTGCAGACCTGCTGCCCGACCTCCTCCTGGCTCTAACTGCAGCTGGAAGCATCTCCGGGCAGCACCTGCCCTTGCATTTTCATAGGAAACAGACTTGCATGCTCCTTGGTCAGCCGGGATCTGAAGACACTGGTATCTTTTGGCCAGGTCTCTGCAGATATTTCCTTTCCAAGACAGTGGTCTCCAAAGTGGGGTGTGCAAAACAACTCAGTCTCCGAAGTGGTACACACACAAGTAGGGTCCAGGAAGAACAGTTTCTGTACTTAAGCATAATTTAAAATATTGTAAAGTATTTCACCTTTTTAAAATATGTTTGTGTAGTTTTAAAATACATATATTTGTATAGTACTAATGTATATAATTTATAAATAAACAATATTGAAGTTCTACAAAAACTTCTTATGGATAGAAGTGTGCAATCAGAAGAGTTTCAAGACCATCATTTAAGAAAAGCAAGAGCTTCAGAGACAGATTTATACCTTCTATTTTGAAAGACCACACCAGCTTCTCCAGGACTCAAGTAAAGATGTCATGCCAGCATGCTGACCCACAACCTTTGCTAGGTCGAGCAGCTCCTCAGTATCCTGGAATTCACTGGTGTCACACAGACTCCTACCAATCCATGGACTGGCATCATCTTGCCTCTAGATGGAGCAGCCCCTCAAAGCTGTCATGATCAGCCCTGGCTCCCCGGCAGGACAGCAGCCCCACACTCCCTGTCACCATTATCTGCATCCCCAAGGAGTGCAACCCCGAGCTTCCCTGCCTTCCACCTCACTGCTCATAGGGCTCCTCCCCCAAAATCCAGCCAGCAGTGGTCTAAGAAATCCTCCTGTACAAGGAATCCCAAGGCCACCAACCTCCACCCAACAAGCCCCAAAGTAATCAGATAAAGGCTTTGGCTACCTTTTAATTTCAACTTCTGCTTAAAAGCCAACTTCCACATTTCTTTGCAGAAAGCCACTTTTTAATAGATTCCCAAAACAAAAAAAAACAACCACCACCACACTATCAAAAAGATTAATAACACCTTTATTCCAAACAAGAGAGCTACAGACACCTGTCATCCTTCTCATCTCGAGACACTGGACATGCAGACTTACTGTTCAAGCTCTAACTATCTGGGATTGGATTGCTAAAGGTAAGTGTTTCTGCTAAACAAACTACATGTTAAGGTTTAAAAGTGGGCTTTATGTCTGGTGCTTAGCTTCAGGTGTACTTGCTTAGCAACACAAGCAAAAAAAAAACCAAAAAAAAGCCTGCTTTAGAACAGCAAGTAGGAATAAAGAGGAAATATCCTCATACCAAGCAGCAACAGCTCAGTATGGCCTCATGCGGCTTGAGGGGGGCGGTGCACGATTCGGAGGAGTAATCGCTATATCCAGGTAGTCTCCTATCTGGAATTTCTGAGACTGCAACGTCATGGAATCATCTGTGCCCTTCCTGCCAGACATGGTACTGCCGATCTCCTTCACCCTGCATGCAGGAGACAAAAGGCAAAGTGGTTCTCAGAGGTAAATCTCTCTAGATGTCCCAAACAGGACCTGTAAGGACTCATGACCACGCCCCGCACTGTATGTAGGGATGCTGGGGTTTTTCCCCCTCCAGTACCAAGTGCATCCTGAAAAAACGACACTGAATCCTCCTGCTGATGGGACAGAGGGGTAGGGGAACCTCATACTGTATTAAATTGAATCTTAGAGAGAGCTCCTTGCCCTCCTTCCACACACACACTGGAGGCCCCACAGATGACAAGTAGGGTGTCTCTGCTGGCTGTGACAAAGGTCAGCTCACACCATTTTGGAAGATGGTATCTGCAACAAGGCAACTGCTAAACTCACACCTCATTCTCAGATACAACACCTTGTATCCACCAGAGACAAAGCGTTACCCCCACTGTAGGTCCCTCTTCTGGTTGGCTGCCAGTACAGCAAGCACAGGACCAGGCACACAGGTTCACAGTTTTGGGAACAGGCTAACAAGAACGGCCACCAAGCACAATTCTGAGTTTATGCGGTCACCATACAGTCGGTTATCAAGAACTTTAAACATTTGATTTGTGGGTTCTGAACTTTAAAATAGGTGTTCATGAACAATAATTGGCTGCTCCAGTACCTGAAGTCTTTGTTAACCCAGACAAGAAATGCCATTTACCTATAGCCAGGCCTCTTGAGATCTGTAAAAACAATGGCAAAATTGAAGTGTGTTCCCTTCTTCCGTGCCTCTGGGTAGACTTCTTTCACTAAGCTGGTCAGCTCTTTCAGAGTTGCATCCATCCTAGATTAAACAAACCAAAGCAGTTCACATTCTCAAAAGCAACAACAATAAAAAAGAGCTCCCCAAAACCCTCTTAAGGTGGGTTTTGCAACAACTTCACCATTCATTCCCTTGCCTTTGCAAACTTTCTGTGACACCTGCAGATGAGCAAGACCTCACATTTCCGCTACACAGGGGCACAGTTTCACAGCTGTAGGGCATTCCCAACACTGCCTTTTGGTCTCATGAGCAAGTGACACAAAGTTGCTCTGCTTACTGATTACAACACCTGGGAGAATTCAACACTAGAGACTCTAAATTCAATACTAGAGACAACACGATCTAGTACAGACGTGGATCTTGCTGTAGTAGCTTCTAATGTACTGAAACATTAGACAAGTCTCTTCACCTTTGGGCACATTTCAACATCTGCTTTTCTATGTGCCTCAAAAGAGTCACTTTCTATGTGTCTACCTACTTCAACAGCAGGGAACTTTTTTTTCAAACACATTTACACAATGAACATTGTAACTGTTTCCTCACCTAAGATGGTGTCTATGTTAAAATAGCTTCTTGAATACTAGAGGAAATGTAGAAAGAAAAAAAAATATAATCATTAATAGTTTTCCATTTCCATCAAGACCTCCACTTCTGCCCTGACAGACAGCACTCCTCCTTTCCCCAGCCTTCAACCAGACAAGGGCCAAAGCTCATTTCTAGAATTTCAAGTACAAAAGAACTCAATCATCACAACTAAAGTAACTCTGGTTGTACAGACTGAACACTCACTCCAAGCTTCAAGCAACCAAGGAGCAGTGTGTCCACAGACAATGCCTGTTCTGACTTCTGCAGATGGCAAACAGCTCAGACACCATCAACAGCCTGGACCGAGTCCATAAACCCCATTAAGAAGTAAATTAGAACTGCATACTTTGCTAGCCACAAAAATGGATTTATTCAACTGTGTAACATACAAATTATAACCCTAACAGACACCTTGAAGGAAAAATAAGACATTAAAAGTAGCATAATTCACTTCAAAACATTATTCAAAATACTAAAAACAAAATCTAATGTGTTTGTAAAACAGACTAGAGCAGCTCTCCAGACTAAATCTGAAAGCAATAAAAAGCAGCTCTCTGTGAAACTTCTGCTGTCTGACCAGACAAAAAGAAACACATTACTTCACCCCCTGACTCTAAACCAACACACCGTTAACACAACAGTTCAAGCCGCCTGGGACAACTTCTACTGAAAAAATAGGTCTGTTGGAACGAAATGGAACCCTTAGTTAAAAGGGAACCACTGTGTTGAGCAGATTCGTTGTGATAACCAAAGATTCGCCACAACACAAGCCTCTGTTCACAGGCACGGCTAGTTGGGCAAGTTTCAGCGGGCAGCGACCAGCACTGAGCAAGGCCCACCGAACTCTCCTGCCACTCAGGACCAGGCAGGCGCCTGGGCACCGCCCCGAGCCCGCCCCCAGGACCAGGCCCCCCCCCCCCCC